GAATATTAACCTACATATTAAAACTGTACCATTTTATCTGTCCTACCTTATGCTTGTACTTGAGCTAAAAATGTCAAATAAAGTCTTCCAGGGTCGTCAAGCAGACCAGTCACAGCAACCTCCACTGGACAACATAACACAAGAAGACAAATACCCATCTGAAAATACGACTTTCTCAGAGAAAACGTTTAACACAGGTATATACATATGGCTTAAAGCCTGAGACCAAAGATTTTTCTTGTCTGTTGTCTTTTACCACCCAATATACTGTTCAAATTTTCTTGCAGATTACACTAATTTTGTAATCCAACTCTTATCCTGATTTAGTTGAAACAAATTCATTAAATAAAAAATCAGAAGTTAGATCTTTTCTATGTGAATAATACTGAATTTAAGTCAATAGGTCTTAAAAATTGTACTTCTTCTACCAAAAAAAAAAAAACAAAAAAAACTAAGACTCCTTGATCCTATTCTGTAAGTCTCATTGTATCCTTTAATATGTGTATGTTGTTTAGATACTAAGCTGAGATCTGCTCTGTACCTACAGATTTTACTCAGTCTAGAGAACATAAAGTAGGTGACTGCATCTTCACAACCCGGTAAAGGTTATGAGGGAAATTACTAATCTTGTCATAAATTATTCCCAGAAATGTTTAATAATAGTGTGCATGGAATTGGAGGGACAGAAGTAAATGTGACTCTCTTCCCAGTTCCAGGCTCTTTCCAGAGAGCAGAAATGAAGCCTGGAAGTCCCATAAAATGAAATGTTTTTAGGAGGACTGGAGAAGGATTCTTGAGTCTCTCGGGCAAGAAGTTTTTCTCTCAGGACACACACTGAGTTGTCTCTGGTAATCTCTTGTTTTCAAGGAAAGGAAATCAGCACATGTAAATCTAAATGGTCATGTTGTGGAGAGAATTGTTATCATTTTTCACATGAACTGATGACATTTGAAGAGAGTAAGAAATTCTGCAAGGCAATGAACTCCAAACTTCTTAAAATAGAAGATAAAGAAGAACTGGTGATGTATATTTTCTGCTTTCCATCATATACTTTAAGTGGCTGTCCATTTGTTGGTAGCTAATTCTTAGTATCTAATAACATTTGAGTGCTTATCACAGTTGATGGATGTAAATTGACTCAAAGTCAGAAATAAAAACAAAAACCACAATTTGAATTTTTACAGCGTAGCCTACGTAAAGTCAAACATCAAGTAATAGTAAAAATTGTATTTTCAAATATATTTTGCCAAGGGAAACTGTATATCCTACTCAGAGTTTCATAGAAATTTAGCTTCAGTCTCTGAGAAAAAACATTACAGCTCTAATAAAATCAGGAAATATACAGCATAACTGCTGAACTAAAAGAATCACTCTAGATGGACTTAAAATTATAGATTAATTAATTCTAACCCACCCTAATTTTTAACTCATGTTAGACTGTAAGAAAATCTAAATTAAATATTTCATAATCCTTCTAATTATATCTTTCTTTGGAACACAGAAGTGATTTGCCATTGTTCCTGCTTTGGAATCAATATAGTCTAATATTCTAGGTTAAGTGTAATTTTTAATATCCTTTCAAAAATAAATTCGTAGACACTGAGGATCATCCAGTTCCCTGGACTAGTCCAAAAATTCACATACTGGATTTTCTACAACTTAGAAATACTTAGAAAGAAAGATGAGCTAGAAAAACATCAAGAAAACAAAGCAAAATTTGAAGCTAGAAAGAAGGAGTTTGTAGAGTGTGAATTAATCTCCTTTGTACTTCATGAGGAGATTGTGATTGTTGTTGATGGGATAAATAAAGAAAAATATGCTAGATTTTTTACACAACGTGAAGAACTTATATGGAAATAAAATAGAATATACTGAAAAGTATCCAGGAAAGAGAGTGAACGTGAAGTCTCTCTGTTCGATCTAAATTAATGATCAAATTTTAATGAGAAAGTCCCTTATAATCTACTTAGGTAAGCAATATAGGATTTACATGTATGTCAACAGTCGGGAAGACACTATATGTACTCGTAACCATACCTCCCAGAATTTTTATAGAAACATTATAAAAGAAATGAAGACTGTTTACAAACGTAGCATTTGGCTTTTTATGGAGTGTCTGTATCTTGAATTAGTTTTTTTACTTTCATTCTTTTGATAGACATAAAATTTGAGAAGAACATTGCAAAAGTTAATTAAAAAAAGTTAATAATTCTTCTACTGATTTATCCACTTATAATGCATACTTTGAGATAGGAGACGTTAACCTGGGATCCACGTATATACAGAGACAGTCTAAAAATAAACTTCAAAATCTAGAAGTCTTGAACTTTCCCAGAGAGTACATTCA